TTAAAAGATGGAAGTGTAATTCATTCAAATTCTGAACTGCACCATGAATTGTACAGAATTATGAATTCACAAGTGAAAATTGCCTTTATTTTACAAATGAAAAATTGTGAACACCGTTGTGTCTGCCACAAGGGGGAGTGCTCAAACCAATCAAATGGCAGTGTTTGAGGGAAATGAAACATTCAAAACAAAAATTCCAAGAGATATATCAGTTAGTGACAGTGAAATACAAGTCAAAATGATAAATGAAACTGTAGAAAAACTATTCATTATCTCAAAAGACATAAAGGAAGGGTTTGGTGTTAACCAAAGCTATCACACCTGCAATAGGTTTACTTCTCTTACCATTTTGGCATGTATGAGATGGTCCTGCCTGCTCCTGCATGCTGTAATGGTGAGTAAAACTGGCACTGGTTTTGGAGGAAGGATTAATCTCCTGGTGCTTAGCCATGCTCCTCCACAGCAGGGAATTGTGGGAGATATAACACAATCACTGCCAACCCCATATGAAGCAGTCTGGGCAGAAGATTCCGCCAGACACACACTGACCAGACCCTGCAGAAAAGTCAGCCAAGATCCTGTTTGGGGTTCTCTCAGGGAACAGACCATGAGAAGTGGATATCCATCTTTCCAGGTATGCCAGAGAAGATGAGCTTTGCTGACAGGAAGTCACCACAGCAGTGACCTACAGTCTTCTGATTTTGAGCAGTGAAAAGTAAACAGTAAAAGAATCACCCAGAATTAAAACCTTGAGGCCTCAAATACCCACCAACTAGATAGTGGTGTAGAGAGCAGTGATGTTTCTCTGAACATGCATTTGACAGAATAAGTTTTTCTGACTTGGCAGACAGATAATGGGAATACCACCGTAGCAGCTTCTTGTCCACAATCAGAACCAGGAGGGGACCAGTATTTACCTTTAAGACTGCAAGAAGTATGTTTTGGGCAAAGCAAATTAGAGAAAATTGCATCATCATGGTTGTTAGGGCAACAGGAGTGGGAAAAGCAACACTAATCAATGGGATGATCAACTACATCCTGGGAGTGAAGTAGGAAGATGAGGTCAAATTTATCAATGACAAACAAAATCCTAGAGCCAAACCTCACTTGTTCCTGCTTATGAGATCAATTACCTCAAAGAACTTCACACTGGGCACTCTCTTACCATCATTGATATAACAGCTTTTGGAGATACTTGAGGGATAAAGAGACACAGACAGATTGCAGGGCAGAGTCGGCAATTTTTTACTTCCAATAAGGGCATCAGTGAAATTGATATTCTTTTATTAATATATTTTACACTTTTCATTGAATCAAACTGTCATGACATCTTCAAATGTCATTTCTCAGATTACATCACTAAGGCCTAAATATCTTGCTAGCGACACTGAAATTGCATTCCACGGGTGCAGATGAGGCAGGGATAGTTTGGTATTGGGATTTAAATTAGTTGGAGTGATGGAACCTGTTCTGGTTTTCTTTCATGCCCTGGAGAGGATCAGACTCCTCAGTATGGCATGGCAGGATTAGATGGGCCCACGGTGGCTGCCAGCTGAAACCACTCTAAATCTTCAAACTTACTGCAGCCATTTCCTGCAGCAATGTAGTCAACATGCTGTCTCTAAGCTCCAATTGATGACTACTCTTGGCTGGGCATTTCACAGTGTCAGAGTGCTAAAGCAAATTCTACAGTTCAGTTCAGTTGAGCTGTTGATGGTGAACATAGCTGTTCCTGTAAGAATGCCAGGATAGAAAAATAGTTAGGCACATGGTTATGTCAACTGGAACTACAGAATGTCCAACTCACAAATACATTTACTGTATGTGTTTGTGCTGGTAGTGTATGAGTATTATATATATATATGTGTGTGTGTGTGTGTGTGTGTATGTGTGTGTACTAGGTGTTTTTCCATAAACCTGTGGTTTATGGAAAATGTACCTGATGAAGGCTGCTTTGTATTATTTTGGTTAAACACCATTTGAGAGCAAATAGAACAGTGTGGGACTCTCATTGTTTACTATAAATACACCAGCAGAGACTCCACTGATGAGGCCTTCCCTAACCCTACTCCAGGCCCTTATCCACTCTGCACAGAAGCGGGGTTCAGGTTAAGTGCCAATCAATGTTTGTCTCTTAGTGGTATTGAGCCGAGTGATTGTAGTGGATATGAAAGAGAACTTAAATCCCAGTAATCACATCTTACTCACAGTAAGGGCTAGGGAAATCTGCTGCCCCAGTTACTGAGTGATTACATCTACATCATGCAAGAGTGAGATCCGTGACAGCAGCAACAGTCAGTGTCACGGCCTATTTTCAAAACTCCCATTTTGACAGCTGTCTTTTTACCCAGGAGCAGCTTGCCTCTTCCTTTTATCACCAGGAACTCAGCCTGTTCATCTCTGTTATTCACCTCTATATCACAAGTGACTCCCCTTAGAACTGGCAACCCTTCAGTTGAACAGTAAGGATACACCTCTCTGTCATTTTATCTTTCCTCACTCATGTTTTTTCCATGTCTGTTTACTTATAACATTACTGGTTGCATCAGAATCAATCAGCATGCTCAATTTACACCACCTATAAAAACTGAGTCTGTCTAATGTGTGTTTTTCTCAATCACAAAAACAAATCTATCAACTGTATTTTGTTTCTTTGAGCTCTTTGTGCAGCACATTTTGGAGAAATGATCCTTCGTATTACATGCGTGGCATATTTGTCCTCATGCTGGACATTTTGGGTCTGTGCCCACATTATCAGTATGTCCTCTTCTGTAACATTTCCTCTCTGATTTTCCCTCACTGCTATTTGATTTACCTCCAGAGAATTTGCCTTGTTTTACTCTTTCCGTGTGACGCAACAGTTCAGTTTCTGGTTTAGATGTGCGTGGTGACATGGCTTCCATTTCTCCACTCTCCCACATTGAACAGCAATTTGCATGGCCCATGCACACTTATTTTCACTTCCTTGATCCCTGAAACACCTAATAATATGTGTACCTGCAGGTACCACACCTTACTCAGTCCAATACACAACGATACCTATTGGCAGATGTACCGGAAAGATCTTCAGTGATAACTGGTCTCAAATTCCTTTCTGCGAGTTCAAACTGAAACATTCAAACTGAGTATTCAGTTCAACAAGACAATAGCAATACAGAGTCCAGAATCAACTCACCGCCAGAAGAAAAGAATATGTGAAGTCTGTTCACCACATACCAGTGCACAGGTGAGTACAGTCTTGATAATAAGCAGGAAAGTCAGATCAGTATGTACCTGTGAGTAAAAATGAGCCAGTTTAAGCCATTTCACCAGCATCAAGAACATTATAACTGTTCCAACTGTAAGCAGGTTTTCAGATGCCTCTCAAGGCAACTATGATAGCTGACTGAAACTCATAAACTCACTTAAGACCAGTCTTCATACATTGTAGTTTTGGAAATGTTAATGATTCAATCTGTTCAAATGCAAACAAGTGTTCATTTCATTTAAGGCAGAATAAGCACAGGTATAACAGAAAGGGCACAAGTACCCTCCTACACCAGTGTAATGAGATTTCAAATTACACTGAATGCTTATTCTGTGATGGTCTACCATGGAATCACAATTATATTATAACATTTCATATTACAATATTATATTAAATATACTCACCATGGATAATGTATCCCAAGAGATACATTTCCTTTGAGCCTTTTCTTTTAAATCATTCATTGTTTACAACATTCAGTTTGTGTTTCTTTTAGCCTTTTTACTTTTCAAGTTAGAAGGGTATTGCTAGTAAATTGCTAGTAAATTGTCGGTTTTCAACTGTTAATTTTGTTTGGTATAGTTAGCTTGTTAGCCACAAAGCATTTATATAACCTGTATAACTATATTACTGTTTTTTTTATATCTACTGAAGGGTGAAAAAGGTATGTTTTCTTCTTCAGTTTAATAAATCACTATTTGGGGAAGGGTAACATCTACCTCTTTATTCTATTTTGTCGGCTGGCTTAGCACTTAGCCTGCTCCTAGCTTTTGTGTTGCTCCACCTTGTTATTTTGTTATATTTGTGACATATTGTTATATTTGTTTCACTCAAATATAACAAAAATTTGATAGAGACAATGACCCTGTGAGCTACTAAGATGCCCCACAGCATTTATTATTAATATACCTCTCAATGTTGCACTTTCCTAAGGAGGGTGATTTTGAACAGATATTTAACACACTGATTTTTATCTATGTGTTAGATAAAAAGACGCGTTAGCTATGGACTGCAGACTGGATAATACACTCACTGAGTACTTTACACTGATACCATCAAGGCTCAGGTAGGACTCAGATGTGGACGTAAATGTTAAGGGTTTTATTAACAGAAGCCAAAGTCCAAAATCCAGAAACGTAGTCAAAAAATAGGCAATGGTCATGACCAGGGAGTCTCACTGCAGCCTATTCTGGGCTGACAGAAGTGGAACCCGACGTGGTTTTCTCCATCCGCCTCAAGGTTCAACCTGTTGTGCATTCTGAGATGCTTTTCTGCTCACAATTGTACAGAGTGGTTATCTGAGTTATCGTAACCTTTCTGTCAGCTCGAACCGGCTATTCTCTGTTGACCTTTCTCATCAACAAGGCGTTTCCGTTCACAGAACTGCTGCTCATTGGATGTTTATTGTTCTTTGCACCATTATGACTAAACTCTAGAGACAGTTGTGCATGAAAATCACAGGAGATCAGCAATTATAGAAATACTCAAACCAGCCCATCTAGCACCAACAATCGTGCCACAGTCGAAATCACTGCAAGCACATTTTCCCCATTCTGATGGTTGATGTGAACATTACCTGAAGCTGCTGGCCTGTGTCTGCATGATTTTATGCATTGTGCTGCTGCCACATGATTGGCTGATTATATGATTGCATGAAAGAATAGGTGCACAGATGCTCCTAATAAAGTGCTTAGTGAATGTATATTGTAAGATGAGGTTTTTCCATGTTCAAGGAATTGGTATTGGCTTGATGGGGGGGCTCCAGGGTTTGAACCACGGACCTCTTGATCTGCAGTCAAATGCTCTACCACTGAGCTAAACAAAATCACAATCCAAGGGAGAGGTAAGAGAACAGGAAAAAGGGTCAAAAACAGGCAGAATCGGCAAAGGCACAAAATCACAGGACAGGAATCAAAAAACCAGGGAACAGACAGCTGCAGTCGGAACACTCACCTCCTTCTCCTGTGATGAGAACGTGGGGGTTGGTACCCGAGGCAGCAGTGGAAGGGCGACAGACCCGTGGAGGAGGAGGAGGGAAGGGAGTTGACTGAGTGTTCCACCCACAGAAGCTGCTGACTCCAAGCCGAGGAATCCATGGAGAAAAGACACTGCAGCACCGTCTCAAGCTGCTGATTAGCCTGCTCGGTCTGGCCGTTGGTCTGGGGGTGAAAACCTGAGGACAGGTTAGCAGAGGCACCAATCAATTTACAGAACAACCTCCAAAATTGAGAAGTGAACTGGGGCCCCCTATCTGACACCACCTCCAGTGGAAGCCCATGCAGCCTAAAAACATGAGCCACCAGGAGCTCAGCAGTTTCCTTGGCTGAGGGTAGTTTGGGAAGCGCAATGAGATGCACAGCTTTGGAGAAACGGTCCAGAACTGTGAGGATGGCAGTGTTACCATCAGATGGGGGCAAATCAGTGACAAAGTCCAGAGCGATGTTCGACCAGGGCCTCTGAGGAACCAGTACAGGGCGTTACAGACCAGCAGGAGAACTGGTGGAGGGCTTGTTCCAGGCACAGACCGAACAGGCAGAGACAAAGCTGTGGATGTCCTCCTTCATGTTGGGCCACCAGAAGCGTTTTTTAAGCAGAGCCATGGTGTGTCTTACTCTGGGATGACAGCCCTGCTTGGAGGAGTGTCCCCACTGCAGCACCTGGGAACGGACACACTGAGGAACGAACAAACAGTTAGTAGGACAAGCACCGGGGGCAGACTCACCACCGAGGGCGGTGCAGACCACCGACTCAATGTCCCACAGGGCAGCCGCTATCCAGCAGCGATCAGGCAGGATGTGACCCCTTTCAGGAGAGCATTCCAATGAGGCATGGAGACGTGAGAGGGCATCCGGTTTAGCTTTCTTTGAGCCCAGGTGATAGAAGAGAGAGAAGTTGAAACAGGCGCAGAACAAGGACGAGCGAGCCTGACGAAAATTTAGCCATCTGGCAGAACGAAGATACATTTTTATGGTCTGTCCACACCAGGAAAGGATCCTTTGTCCCCCTTCAGCCAGTGCCTCCATTCCTCCAACGCCAGCTTGACTGCTAGGAGCTCCCGGTCGCCGGAAGACAGTCTGCGTGAAAAGAATGCACATGGGTGAAGCTTGTGATCCTGAGCAGACACCTGAGAGAGGACCTCCATTTGTTCTCTTTAGTGAGAGTGGCTTTCTGACGGGCATTTTCTTCGAGATCCGCTGTCAGGCTTTTGAACTTGGACACCCATAAGTCTTTATCCGCTATGTTAGCCAGTTCAATTTCAAGATCAGGCTGACTTACTCCTTTGAATGCAGGTATGTTCAGCAGGGATGGGTCGATGTCTAGGGTTCTGACGGGGAATGACAAAGTGGTTTTTTCCTCTCTGAACTCACTGAATCTTTCTCCAAGTGCAGCTTGCATTGCGATAATTGCAGTGTAAATAATCACAGTTTATGTGATTGTTCTCTTCTTTGGGAGGGGAAGTGAGAGAGCGTACCTCTCTGTGCAAACTGAGTATCCTGGCAAACACTGTCATTTTGCGCTCAAACGGCAAAACCTCCTCCAACATCTGCAAAACCGTGCTTCCCTTCCCCTGAAGAGTTTTATTCAGCGTGTTTAATTGACTTGTCATATCCACCGTAAAGTGCAACTTTTCCAGCCAATCTGGATCTCCCAGTTCAGGATAGTTGAGGCCTTTGCTTTCCAAGAAGGTTTTCACATGTTCCAGACAAGCAGTGAAGTGTTTCAGCACCTCCCCTCTGGACAGCCACCGGACTCTGTTGTGCAGCAGTAGACAGGGACACAATTGAAGAGAGTAAGTAGGTACTACTAGCTGGTTTCAACATTAAGCATGGCCTAATGGCCCGGGGCCTCCAAATATTAGTGTGTCCAAAAGAACTACAGCATTGTCAGCGAAGTAGCCTATAGATAATTGCCCATCTGGGCCACCAAGCTCACTGGCCAGGTGGCCCATTTGAAAAAATGTGTCAACCCCTGACTAGGCTTTGACATTTTCTCAGGTTGCCCTTTTTCTCATTATGGTTAGCCAATCACTAATGGATGGCTCAAAGGGCTTCAACACTCGACCCATGTTTCAAGGACTCCAAGTTTCTATCAAGAGGAGAGAGAGAAGAAGTGTGGACGAGCCTTGAGGCACTGCTGCAAGAAGAACTCAGCAGAGCTACTCCAGAGCCCTAAGAGGAGCCAGCAAAGAAGAAGAGGAGCCTCCTGCTGTTGGCTTCAGACTCAGATTCAGATGGTGAAATGGGAACTAACAGGACTCTGAGCCTCTATAAATAACAGCCCAGCATTAGCATGGAAGATTGTCCACTGCAGTGGTGATACACTCATGCAGAGGCCCATCTTCAGCTGTCTGCCCAGGTTTGCAAATATCTGGCCACCTCTGCCATTTCTGTCCCTTGTGAGAGACTTTTCTCACTTGCAGGCAACATAGTTTTTTTTTAAATATCCTTGCCCTGATTTTTTCCTGTTTTTCCCAACCCGAACTTGTTCAACCGAACTAGTTGACCTCACCACAGCACCCACTCTGACGGCTTTGGAAGGAGAGGTCGAGCTTCTGACACCTCCAATTCATGTGACAACAATCTCGCTTCTATTCACATTGCAGCCTTACCACTAATAACACACTGCCTATGATGTTGGAGCGTGACGCAGTCAGCGTACTGTCAGTTTGTGCCGCTGCAGGGTGACAGAGAGGTTGCTATGGCAACAAGACCATCAAATCCCAGGCGAGGCTGGCCAATTGTTGCCTTGCCAATGGGGACCTCTGGCCACCATAGCTGGTAATAGCAAGACTGGGGATTGAACCTGGGCTATAGGGCAATGTTTTATCCTGTGAGCCACCCACAGGCTGCAACATAGTTTAAAAGAAGAGGGCAACCTTGAACTCTGAGAATGTAAACAAGCTAGTTTGTCTCAGCGACTGGCTGAAGGAGAAGTAAGAGGTATCTTGAGGCTGATGGGTCCGTTACTGTTAAGTAAGGCTACATGTTATAAATCAAATTGTTATGGCCTACATTGCCTCAGAGATTTTTGCTTGGTGAGGTTTATTTTTTCATACAAGATATTGGACAGATAAGAGGAATTGAGGTCAATGGGACTGTTATTTTTGTTATTCGTCTAGAAATTCAATGAAATGAAAATGTTGTGCTTGGATTTGAAATTGCACTATAAGTTAAACTGTTGGTCTGTGTTGCCTAAGTTTATTTTGGCATATAAGATATTGGAGAAATCATAGGTTATAATATAATATATATAATAAAATTATAGATTATAATTGTGGCCTGAGATGCTCTGTATATTCAATAAAATAAAAATATTATGTCTTAAAGTGCACCATATATTACAATTGGTCTATGTTGCCTAACTAATTTTAGTTTATTTAGTTTTAACATCTAAAATATGAAACATTGACCATCATTACAATGTCAAGGACAAAATGGGAAACTTATGGATTTATGGCTAAAATGGTGTAAACACACTCCACCCACAGACCACTCACAAAGTCAACAAGACATAAAACTGATTATCCCAGTCCACAGAGTGAAACCAGAAGAAACCCACTTTTCACTCAAATGCCATTTCACGAAAAAGGAGTGAGGAGAAGGGAGTAAAAGAGGGAACAAAATGGAATAGAATATCACAGTAAGTGCTGTGGAGTGTGATGGGGATTGGAGAGAAGCTAAAGAGGACTGTGTGGAGGAATGGGAGTATAGAGGTATAATATCAGTGAGACACAATTCAGTACCAGGTGAAACATTGACTATAAAATAACAAGCCTAGTAGGGCTAAAGGGTGTTATAGTCATTGTATGGTCTGATGTAAAATGGCCATTCAGGTAGAATAACAGCTCAAGTTCTGTACACAAATCTGATTGAAAACTGATTGAAAGGTTCATTTTGAAACGTGTTTTCCTTAAAGTTGTTTTACATTTTTTTTTATTTTTTGTTTTACTCTGTTTTGTCATGTGGTTAAAGGTTTTTTCTTGTCTCCTTATTGCTCAGTATTTAGAAAAGCCCATTTATGAAAACTCCAATGCAATATTTAAAAATCCTTATTCATAATGTTAGTTTCCCTGGTTGATGTTGAACAGATGTGGAACAGAGTTTTGGCTGAAAGCTACGTTTAGGGTTTAGGGTTAGACTGAGAGTTTCGGTTGGAGTTAGGGTTAGGGTTAGTGTAACTGTGACATTTAGGGTTAGACTGAGAGCTTGGGTTGGAGTTAGGGTTAGGGTTAGTGTAAGCTTGAGAGTTTGGGTTGGGTTAGGGTACACTTGAAAGCAAATACTGCTGTACAAACTGAAGTATAAACTTCAACAGAGTATTTCTAGTTTTATTCAAGTCATGTTTCACCAAAGGTATCTCTAGGTTCAATAAAAAGCAGAAGTTGTGTACTTTGTCCACCACTGGTGTGTTTGTAAATGGCCATTTTATATGCTTTGTGACATTTTAGGGGATAGATGTGATGATCAATAGAAGCCAGTGTCAGAGGATGATCTGTGAATTTCCCCATCATCCCAAAATGGTGTGTCATACAGAACCTCAGCATTGTCATTGTCAGTGTTAGAGTGAGAATTAGGGTGTTAGAGTGAGAGTTGGGGTTAGTGTAAGAGTGATATTTAGGGTGTTGGATTGAGAGTTGGGGTTAGAGTAAGAGTGAGATATAGAGTGTTAGATTGAGAGTTGGGGTTAGAGTAAGAATGATATTTAGGGTGTTAGAGAGAGAGTTGGGGCTAAGGTAAGCTTGAGATATAAAGTGTTAGATTGAGAGTATGGGTTAGAGTTAGAGTGATATTTAGAGTGTTAGAGTGTGAGTTGGTTTAGCATAAG